GGGTGTTCGTTAGACGTTGCTATACTCAGCTCGACGAGCTCTATCGATTGGCTAACTCAGATTTTAATTTGGGGGTGTTCGTGGGTGTTCGCGTCTTTTAGCAATACCCAAAAAATTTTCTTTTTTTTGACATCTCTTCCAGAAGGAGATTTCACCTGAAATACGTGAAATGTTTGGAAAAGCTTGAAAATCCCAAACCGAAAACCTAAAAATCGAAAAAGTGGACTTTTGTCATATTTTAATTTTTTCTTGTTCTATTTCCCATTTTAAAAATCTGAGTTACACATGAATCGAACGAGTAGAAAAAAACTGAACAAGATAGGCTAGTTTTAAGAGGTTCAACTCATAAAGTTAGTGGTAAAAAAAATTCAATTCAGAAGGATATCCTTATACAACAGAATAGCAGAGGATCATGAACACTTTTACAAAAGAACTGCTCAATGTATCGAATAAAACTGTTTTCTGGCCTGTTCAATTTTTTTGGGAAAAAACCTGAAAAATTTTACGGACTCACCAGAAAAACCTGGCAGATATTTCGAATTTTTCACTCTCATTCATTTTTTTTCTTTCTTTATAAATCTAGGTGAGAGTTCCAGTATGCCATCGAACTATATTCGTTTGTGTTGTTTACCATCTTCATCTTGGTGTCATGTATTATTTATATTATCCTCATCGGATACTTTATCTAAAAAATGTAGCATTCGTGTATATTTAAATGGACTATCTTTATCTTGTTACGATTGTCCTCAATCAAAATTTTCTCCATCTTTTTCTTCGACAAAATCAAATTGGTTATTATCAATTGGTCAACGTTCACTTGATCAATGTACACCTTATTATTATGATTTAGGAACTCTATTATTATTTGATAAAGAATTATTTAATAATGATTATATTCTCTCCTATTTGTATAGTCTTGGCTCGGATCAATGGCATTTTTTAGACACTCCACAAATGGCGACAACATCAACAATCGGAGATTATTGGGTTTATCGTCGATTTTCATTATTACATTTAAATATTACAATTGATAAATTTGATCAAGAACAAGCCTATTGGCGTTCAGTACTCAAACGTTCTATAATTGGGTCCTATACACCAAGTTATCCATGGACATTATTCACATTTAGGTATACTAAAAGTCTAATTGATTTGAAATTCTTTAAATTCGAAGTAGTGAGTTAATAATGTTTTTTTTTTGTTTTTTTATTCACTTTTTTAGTACTTCAAATGATGATGCAAATATCACTTCATCATCAAGTGTTTCACAAAGTATTCTTGCCAAAGTATTCTTTCGTTCAAGTACTTTAGCATTGACACCGCCTAATCAATCATCAACAACAAATACATCCGTCATTGATTTTGATCTATGTTCGTATGCTCGTACAATATCATTACCATCAAAAATAATTGTTGAATATTCGACAACAATTTTAAATGTTTGTGAACGTAGTGGCGGTGTTCTAAATTTTATCTATTTATATGCAAAAATAATTGAATTAACATTGTACGAACAAACAGATTTTTATCTTTTACATGTGACAGATATTTTATTTACATGTATATGGAAAATGAAATCATACTATGATTTATTTCATTCACTTAATGGATATAATCTCATTGTAAAAGTTTTATCCTCTCAACAAATATATACAAAAATAACGACAAAACTTTATAAAACAATGTTAATTCATAGTTTAAATAAAATTAAATATTCATCATCACTAATGAATGGACATATCTATGATATTCATTTATTTATGCAAATATTATTGGAATGGAAAATATGGAAACAATCACCACATCTCTATCATAAAATATTAGACACGTGTGAATTGTTATTGAATGATCAACAATGTCAACATTATTTGTCAAATAGACAATTGTTTAAAAAACATTTCGCATTAGGTAAGAGAATTCAAGTTGAGTTGGAGTGAGTTGAAGATCACGCCGTTGTCAGCACTTCTTCGTATAACTATTTATTGTGAGACAAACTTCAGCTTAGTGTCTTCTCTAAATCTCTCAACTTAAATCTCCATCACAAAGTTTATTTGATTAAGTTCTTCTTAAACAGTGTGTTTCACATCTACTCACTAGCTTAGAATCATAAAGAAAGAGTTATAGACGGAGTTTTCGCTGTGAAACATTCCCTCAAGTTTAAGTATAAATAAATTTTCTTTCGATTCGTTTTTGTTAGTTATTACAACGTCGTGGTTCTGATTACATGGATTAGAGGAGCTAAACATTTGAAGTTGTCGCATAATGACAAGCAAAAGACGAAACTTACAAGATAAGGATGTGTCCACGTAAAAGTCAACTTTTACGTCCGTCCGTAACGTTTTATGAAAGGCATAACTCTTCAGCTGAGCAGCGAACAGAGTTGGGAAACGTCTTATTAAGTTTAGCTTAAAAGATTTTTCCTTCAAATGGTATTTAAGCAAAGTCTTGCAGCTGACTAGTTTAAATGATATAATGTTTTTGGTATACGCTACTTTCGTGCAAAAGGGTCTTATTGCCATGAATTACAGGCAGATGTTTAGATTAGAGCTAGACTTTGCTTAATCATAATTTTACGTCAAAATCGTGATAAATCGGCAGAAATTAGGCGATTTTGACGCTATGGGAAGGTTGATAACCTTTGTTGTAAATCCTTTACCAGTTTTTTACCAGAAAAAAGTTTTTTTTGTTTAATTCTTTCACCAACATCTAGCTGTCAGAGAGAATCGTACATTATTATCTCTAAGATATTTTATTTCTACGAACAACTAAATAAACATTTTGAGAAAAATCTCTCGTGATCGTGGTTACCGTGACCGCGACTAGAAACCCTTGGACACGCGCATCTCTAAGCTGAAATCTAAGAAGACGGAAGTTTTTTGAGCTTCGTGAAATTTAGAGTACATGTTTCACTATAAAATAAGATGTTTGCGAGCTTTGTCTGATTTTTGCTTACAATTCTGTACTTATTCAGTGACAAGCTCCTAACACAGCCGGAATCTATAGAGTCGATGGAAAACATTATTAAACAAATACAGAATGTGAATAAAAGAATGCTCAGAGCTCTGTGATCTCTCGTTTTATAGAAAAATGTTTGCTGTATATTTTGCCGTATTCTAAAAAACCTTTGGCTCCAAGCTTAGACTATTAATATCTCTAGATCACATCACAAGATAAATTGTTAGAAAATGCTTATAGCAGACGAAAAAGTCCTGAGTAACTAAAATTCCTAGCTTTGTATAGCTACAAATTTTTAAATTCTTTCATCTGTTAAAATATCGATATACTTCGATACCAAGATAGATAATGAACATATTTTTCTAATTATTTTCCGTGTGTATGTTGATTGTAGTTTTATTTTTCTCTCTTAAATTCTTACACATTTGATTTTAGATCGTCTGTTAATTATCTGCCAAGAAATAATTGAAGATACTAATAATACTAATCAACAAAGCGATGGTTTAATATTAACTGATCATATGGCATCATCCATCGTGAATATAATTGAATACTTATTAGAATTTGATCTCAATTATATTTCAACCATAATGAATTTTGTTCTATTAATACATCCTCTGGTTAAAACGTATGTAACGTATAACAAGGAACACTTCTACTTTGTTCAGCACTATCCAAAACAGAAACAACAACAACTTCGAGAAACAGTAGATGAAAATGAAGAAATAACGTTTACAAACAATAGTATTGATAATGAACATACAGATATAGTCAATGGCATTGATACGTAAGTTTTTTCTTCTCTTTATTTCGAGACTTTGTGACTTTATAATTCTATTAAAATATTTCCTATATTATCTATTAGATATGTTTAGTAATTGTTGTATCGAGTGTTGCATATATATCATTTTTTTTCTTATTTAGATTCAGTTTCAGCGATGATCAGTATCAATTTCGTCGCCGATGTACAACTGTTGTTGATGATTCAGCTCCAATTATATTTAATAATAATCAACAGTTAAGACAAGAACCAATTATTAATAATGATTCTAAACAATATAGTGAGAAGAAAGTATCTATATCTAATATTGGTCCAATTCGAAAATCTCGTTCATTTTCTGATTTTTTTACTTCATCTCTCGAATTTGGACAACACCAAAAACGTCAATATGGTTTAACAATAGTTAATCCTACATTTTATGATGGCGCATCAACAAATGTAGCTGATAAAACAAGATTGAATGATAACCAAATTGATTGTATTAGTCACAGTGTAGAATTATTATCAAGTGGACTGTTAAAATTATTAACAACAATTGTTGTAACAGCTCCTGATCGTTTAATGTTAAAATTAATTGATAATGTATTTCGTATAAATATTTTAGTCGTTCTTCTATTAGATTCAAATATTTTAAAACGAATACAATGTTTGAAATTATTAGATGCATATTTAAAACGTTTACAACCAAATAAAATACGAGAAGATTTAATTGAAACAGATCTTACTTTTATGATGGCTAATCAATTGTATCAATATGAAATGAATGGTGATCAAACATCAATTGATCAACAACAACAATTAATTGAAACATGTCTAACGATTGTCTTTCAACGACCAATTACATTAAATCAATCACAAAAGTAAATAAATAATATTAGAAAAAAGAATGATATATTCGATGTATTTAATTCTAAAAGATTTTTAATATTTATTAATCTATTTTTAGCATTGTCGATCAAATATCAAGTCATGAAAATTTTTTTTCATTTTTATCATCAACTTCGTCAAAGCCACACATTTGTCCAATGAGTCAAATTGGTCTCGCATTATTACTATCACTAATTGAAAAATTAACATTATCTAAATCGGGTGTATATTTATGTCAAATTTCAATATACTTATTAAATCAAATAATTGAACGTTCTAATGAATTTTATCGTCAATATTTGATTGATATTGGTCTATGTGAAGTTCTATTTAATACTTTGTGTTCATGTATGCAACAAATTAAAGTAAATAAACAAGATATGTTTGAATCATACAAAAATGTTATTATAAATATTCAACTCTGTTTTAATTCATTGGTAGCCTGTTTATATGCAACTGTTAATGGAACATCAGCAACATTTACTAATATACTGAACATACTAATAAAAATGATTCAAGAACAATTTATTGAAGGTAAAAATGAATTTAACTCATCATTTTACCTAACTGTAATTCTAGTTTAACCAGATTCTAGTTTTTAATGTTGCTAGGCTTCTCATTAAAACTGTTTTTTTTTTCAGAATAATTCTTGATTTTGATCGTAATCGAATGTTTATTTGCTCTCTTATTGAGTTTCTGAATGAGTTTTCAGAGATCTATCATAAATTTGAGAATTAAGAGACTCTGATCTGTTCGATTTGTCCAGCTTATCGAATTGCCACTTACAAAAATATTAATCTCAAATACATTAAAATATTTGACTTTTTTCAGATTTTTCAGTTGTAAAGTTTTTAGAACTCACTTTAAACTTGTTCGATCGTTCTAAAACTGTTTTATACTGAACTGACTGAACTGAACGTTTATTTTGTTCAAACATGGATGATACAGAAAGGATTATAAACTATCTTATTCAAATGTAACACTAGTAACACACATAGACAAAATGAGAATCTAAAAAAAAGAAATAAGAAAAGAGAAAATTTAACAATTTGATTCTGCTTGAGTTGTGCGAGTGTGTGAAAATGAAAATGATTGTTTGGTGTACGACAGTAGATAGTAAAAAGAAAGATCCTGAAGATGATTTGAGTCTATAATGTAATTTTGTTAATTATTTGAGATCTTCTGTTTGGTTGTCAGTGTAAATGGTGCCCGGACTAGATTGAATGTGAACAGATGAGATCGATCGTAATTGCTTTGAACAGATGACAGAGACGAAAATATTTTCTTCATAAATCAAGAAATGCCAATTTCATTATTTGTTGTAACTTGAATCTTCATAATTTTGTAATATTCAACGTTATTCTAATTTTTGAATACTATCTAATTTCAATAGATAAGTGGCATGTGGAGAGTCCTATATGATACATGAGAATTCAAGAAGAGTCGGAATGTAGATTTTGTACAGATGAAGACGAAGTGAAGGTAGTAAATCTCGAAACACTCGTGATGTTAAGCCGAGCATTTTACGACAGTTTGATGTGATATTCTCGAAATGAAGTTTCCAAAATAAATCGAACGAAATTATCAGACTAAGACGTTTGATGGTGGGCGTTCATTCGATTAATGCATTGTTTATGCGTAGAGAAAGATTAGAAAAAGTGTTAGCTACGGTAGGAAATATAGTCCACTTACATTTAGAAATGTTGAAACTGACAAGATTAATTTCACACCAAGTAGTTACTTCGCCATATATGTCTGTGCTTCATCAGAACAAATATAAAGAAATGTCATTGACGAATAGAGAAGTCTGAAGAGAGAAAACCAGCAAACAGGATTTACACGGAGGCAATTTGATGAGATATACAAATCGAACAGGTCAGAATCTCTTAATTCTGAGATTTATGATGGATCTCTGAAAACCCATTCAGAAACTCAATAAGAGCATAAATAAACATTAGATCATGATCAGCATCAAAAACTATCCTAAAAAAAAACAGCTTTAATAAGGAAAAGCTTTAAAACAACTGGGAACATTGTTTTGTAACAGAAGGTGGAAAAAATCATTTCGCAAATATAACATCGAATAACATTTTTTTTTAGAAACTGCTCATCCTGGAAATTGGAAAATGGATCATTTTGACTTAAGTGTGTTACATCAAACATTATTTAGCGTTTTGAGTACAATAATTGATTTAACTGAAACATTGTGTCATTTGAGTAAAATACATTCGCCAATTAATCAGCGTAGACTATCAAATCACGCCATATCACCATTATCGCGTTGTTCATCGACAGCATCATTAAATGTCAATTCATCAAGTAATTCGCTTGATCAATCTTTAAAAAGTTCATTATCAGAGATTCAACTAAAAATTTCATTTGGTTTTATGAAAAATAGTTCAGAAAATCTTGTACCACTTCGCGTATTAAATAACTATAATGATGAGTCAACATCGAATAATGAAAATGCATCAGCAGCAACAACGTTGTTTGATCAATTTGATTTAGGTAAGCTTGAAAAAAAATATAATCAGTACTTTTGGTATTAGACTAAAAACTATCTAGTTTTCAGGTGATCGTTTTCGTAAATATTTACAATTATCCGTTGATTATATTGAAATGATTTATTTTGATCATCCAGCTACCACTGATTCATTAGAACAGTATACATTGAAATTATTTGATTTGTGTCTAAATGGTATTGCCTATAATTTAGAAAAGAAACCGTTAACTACAACACAATCATCAACGGATAATAGTAATACTAGTGAAAAATTAACAAAAAGACGTTATTGGGCTATATTAATGTTTCGTTGTCGAGAAATAATTAAACAAAAATGCTCAAAATTATTAACATTAACATTAAATCCAGATAAACAACGTGTCCAATTTCGTTGTGAAATAATTAAACATATTTTAAATCAACCAAATTCAAAACAAATTTTAGATTATTTATTTTCTAATGATTTACATCTATATGAGAAAGTATTAGTCTATTTTAATCAACTATGTAATTGGAAAGAACAGGAGAATGGTAAAGAACGATATAACATTTAAATTAAGAGGACACTTGTCCCTCTCTTATTTCACCTTGTTGACAAAAGTCGAAGCGTGGGTTCGATACTAGAGATAAAATTTCGAAAATTAAAATTAAAAGATTCTGAAAATGCTAAGTAAAAAGTCGGCTTTTGATTTTAAAAAACTTTGTCATGAAAGTCAGTTGAAGTTGTTGTAAACGTTTTATAAAGAATTAGAACCTGAGAAAGAGTCTGAAGTATCTTTGGTAAAACGTTGGACTTGATCGAACAATTTTTTTCTGAGGGGTGATAAAATGTCTGGAGTGTTCTAAGTATTACAGGTCACTTTCTCCAGGACATTTGCGGCGTTGCTCATATTTCCGCAAAAAAACATTAGAAAATCTTGAATATAGGTAAAGAGGTAAAGAGAAGACTGCTCTACAAACTAACGAGGAAACTTCTTGAGGTTATAAATTGCTTTTGAACTCAGACTAGTTTTGTCTTTTAGATCTTAGTGAGTAGTGAAATACCCTAAGTTGGTTTGTGCCCATCGTGCTTTGTTGCTGAGATACTCGATTTTTAATCAGTTTTTGCGTACAGAGCTTGAATTTCGAGCAAAATCCGACTTGCCACACTTGTAGCTCATGGTCATAGTAGTACGACGGAAAAATATTCGATGCTAATGAATTTTCTTGCCTTGAGATATTGAGACTCGAACATTTCACCAGAAGGTAAGAGTGAGGATCAGATATTCGAGTCTCAATATCTCAAGGCAAGAAAATTCATTAGCATCGAA